AACATGGGTCTTCAGTCTTGGGGCAGCAGTAGCTCAACAGGTTGAGCAGGTTGTCCAGTAATCGGAAGGTTGCAGGTTCGATCCTGGCTCCGGACAGAGAATTCTGCTGTTGTGTCCTTGGGCAAAACACTTAACCCACCTTGACTGCTGGTGGTGGTCGGAGGGACCGGTGGCACCAGTGCTCGGCAGTCTCGCCTCTGTCAGTGCGCCCCAGGGCAGCTGTGGCTATATCAGGGCTCATCACCATCAGTGTGTGAATGGATGAATGATACAATGTAGTGTAAAGCGCTTTGGAGTCCTTACTCTGAGAGGCGCTTTACAAGTGTGGATCATTTATCATTTTATCATGATGAGACAAACTCACTTGTTGCTCATTTCCTGATTGTGGTAAAAGTAACAGAACCGTGTCAGCATCACAGCTGTACAAATGCAGATGTAGGAGCTGCCCAGAGCGGTTTGTGAGATTGTTACTTGTTTAGATTGTTTTCAGCTCACAATTCTAGTTATGCTCCTATCCTGATACGCTTCACTAACTGTGTTACTTGTGCTTTATAGGAAACATGAGGTGAGAAATGTGCTCGTTTGTTTTTTATGGTAAACACTAGAAAACTGTTGCTATTTGTCTTTGTGGAACATCAACGAGTGGCATAAATGACGCCTATAAGCATTTTGCCTCTAAAAGTTTTAGTGATAAAATTATTTGAATCAATTTGAAATCAACTGTAATATTAAGTTCCTTACAACATCTATAAATTCTGATTTTATCTTCTACATAACACTTTGTTCAGCACCTTGGGTCCCCTTGATTGATTTATAAATAAAGTTGAATTGAACTGAATAACCCCATTTACTGCTTTATCTTTGAGTAAGTCTGCATCTGTATCTCTGCACTGACCTCTGACCTAGTAAAGTAGTCCATCCTCTCTAAGTTCAGCTCTGTCACCTACCTGCTAAATAGGTAAGTCTCCTTTGCCGTCACCTGCTGTGCCACAGACATCTAGCTAAAGATCACTGAGATGATCAGACTTGGATTATCTAGAGGAAGTAAAAGTAGCAAGGTTCCCATAGGTGAACCTAATTACTGGTACTGTATCTGACTCTGCTTATCTGAAGAGCTCACAGAACTGATGTGCATTACACAGACAGTAAAGTAAAGCACAGCTATGGCAACAAAACAATATACAGACAGCTCAATGATCCTTATATTAAAGCTATTCCTTCTTGATTGTGCCTTCTGTGGACCTGGCATGGTGCTAAACGTGACTGATTTAGCAGGTAAGCTAATGTAAATATACTTACTACAAGCTAGATCACAGTCAACCAGTTAAGCATCTCTAAAGAAAAGGTTGATTTGATTATTATCTGCAACTTTTTAGATGCTTCATTCGTCTCTCTAACAGATTCTGTTTTTATTGTTTGTAAAGAAAAACTGAAATCAGCATAACTGATTCTTCATTTATGAATCAATCAGAACCATTTTTCTTTTTAATTGCTGGTCAACTCTTTGGCACAAATGACCCAGAACAGGACCTGGAAACATCCTTTATTTGATATTGACTGGATCATTGTTCAGATTTTAAAACGGTCCATGTTTTTGTTCATCCAGGTGGAAAGGATGACGTTCCCCTGAGTTCCCCCAGGAAAAAGTTGTCTGTTCCTTTGTTACCTTCACTTATTTCCTAAAACATTATCTCTGGTGCTCTGAGACTATTGCCACCTCCTCTAAGAGCTGCACACTTCATTACTGCACACACCTGAACAAACCTGATTGAATTCTCCTTGACAGAGCAGAACAGCAACAGCATGTGTTGATCGTGTCCACCAGACACCCATTTGTTACCTGACTGAGTTTATTTTACAGAGTTGCTACAGGATGGAAGCAGGACTCGGTGGATGTGAAAGCTTCTGCACACATCGAGATGTGGTTTTTCACTAAAATGCTTTTTTTCACATCCAGTGCACACAGCACAGGAAGTGCTGCCTTTCTTTAGCATTTTTAGCATACCTATCGATATGAAATTCCACAAATGTACATACGGGATTGTTTCTCTGTGGACAAACAACTGGCTCTTTTCTGCTCTATCTGTTTCTCCTGCCGACTGTGGTTTGGCATGTATGCTGTTTGATAAAACATTCCTCCCTTTGTTACCTATGGAGTGGTTTCTTAGTAGACATGCATATCCAGCCAAAATAAATTGTGGCAACTTGATAGTAGTAACAACCAAGAATGACTTTTAGTCCAGATCAGATATTTCTAATCTGATTCTGATCTCTGTAAATGAAATGGTCTAAAATTGTTTAAATTATTCAGGCCTTGCTCATTTATAAATTAGTATATCTTTTAAAGTGACGGTATGGGGGCTAGGGTTAATCATTGCAAACAAGCTGTATTTTTGTGTTTGAGTAAGACCGTACCAACGGGTGGCCATTAGGGTCAAAAATCCCTGGAAAATCCATTTTCGAACAAGTACTTCATCAGATCGTGTAAACTCCAACAAAATAACAAGCACATCAGACTCCATTTGTACACCAACAACGAGTGAAGAGGTAAATGTGTAAAACAACAGCGTTCATGAATGGCGAAAGTTTTGTACCCTTTTGTTACAAATCAGTAAATGTGTTTTGTCCTCTTGGGCTCAAATAGAAGAAAAACATGGCGTCTAAAACGACATTGCCCAGAGATTGCATATTTTTAAATAATTTTATTGAACCAGTACGTGCTAAAACAACCCTTTACGGGGTCAATTTTTTTTTACATTTTTTTTACATTTGAGAAGTTTAATGAGAAATTAAAATCAATGGTACAATATAATAGTATAACAAAGAAATATTTGCAGGTTTACAAGCAAACACACAACTTACACAATGCTAAGAATGGGTGCAGGCAGAAGCATAAGCCCCATTCTCTCCCGGGCCAATACGGAGACGTTGATGCATGCTTTTATCACCAGTAGGATAGATTACTGCAATGCCCTGCTTTCTGGTCTTCCCAAAAAGAGCATCTCAGGCTTACAAATTTTACAAAATTCGGCAGCACGTGTCCTGATGAAGACCAGGAGGCGGGAGCACATGACACCAGTTTTAGAATCATTGCATTGGCTCCCCGTATGTTTCAGGATCAATTTTAAGGTTCTTCTAATGGTTTTTAAGTGTCTTAACGGTCTTGGGCCTTCTTATCTATCAGAACTGCTTTTACAATATGAACCCTCGCGGACTCTGCGCTCCTCTGGCAGGCGTCTCCTGGTCATCCCTAAAGTCAGGACACAAACTCACGGCGAGGCGTCCTTCCAGTGTTATGGCCCTCGCCTCTGGAACGAGCTGCCGGAGGACCTCAGGGCCGCAGAGAACGTTCATGTTTTTAAGTCAAGACTCAAGACCCATCTTTTTAGGTTAGCTTTTATCTAAATATTTACTACAGTTTTATTTCTCGTTTTACATGATTATATTTTATTACTTGCTTTGTTCTATATGATTATATTTTAGCACAGTTTTATTATTTAAATTATTATTTTACTGTCTATGATTTTATTTATTACTTATTTTCTAATTGTTGTCATTTATATTAGCTCTTTTATTACATTTTTACTCATTTTAATCCAGTGTTTCCTCTGTGGGGGCCCTCTGCCCCGGGAGCGGTGGTCGACTGTAGCTTCCTGGGCGCTCTACAGGTGGGGGTCTATGCTCCCCCTCCACTGAGCGCCCTGACTTAGTGTGGAAGACCTGATGCTGCCGGGGCAGACGGCTCCTCTGATGGCGTTTCCTTGCGTTACCTTACTTGGCTCATCTGGACTCAGCCTAATATAATTTTTACTCGTGTGTGTGTGTGAGTCTGTGTTTGTGTGCGTGTGATTGCATATGTTTGTTAATGTTTTTAACCTGTTATGGGAATCTGGGGTCATTTTGTAAAGCACTTTGAATAACACTTTGTAAGAAAAGCGCTTTAGAAATAAAATTTGATTGATTGATTGATTGATAAGCCCAACCCCCCAAACCCTTTGAACTTAAACAAACTTTTAGAATAGCATACCAATTCCATAATTTTTGCATCATGTTTGAAATGTATGGGAATATATTCAAATCCCCATTCTTGCTTTATAAAAAAAAATAATGACCTTTAACCCTTTGATGCATAATGGTCACTACAGTGGACAGGTACTCAAAATTGTTATTTATTTGTTTTTGCTAGTAAGCACAGATGTTGAAGACTTTATTGCATTTGAGCCCCTCCATTTGGACTTCAGTAAGCCAAGCCAACATATTTCATGCTCAGAATGCACGCTGTCCACTGAGGTGGACATGTAATAAATTATTTGTAAATTGTAAAATTTTACAAAAAATATTTGTTGAAATTTGTTTCATTCACACCTAAAGACAAATGAAAAAAATTGTTAAAAAAATCATGGTTGAAGATTTCATAATTCATGCATCAAAGGGTTAATGTTTATGCATTTTTTTCATTGACTTGATTCATAATATTTAATCACATTTGATTTAAACATACCCTTAAACTTTACCATGGTTGAACAATCTTTTTGCTCCTGGTCTAATTTATTCCACACACCAACCCCAACACAAGAAATACAAAGTTGTTTCATTTTAGTTCTTACTTTAGGCTTTCTAAACATTTTATACCCTCTGAGATCATAAACACTCTCTCTGATCTGGAACACATCCTGAATTTGTTTTGGCATCAAATTATACATCACTTTATACATAAACTGTGCAGTTCTTAATGTAACTAATTCTCTTAGCTTTAATACTTTTAAATGAATAAAAAGTAAATGTGTATGCTCTCTACAAGCTGCTTTGTTTACAAGTCGGATTGCTCTCTTCTGAATTATAAACAAAGGCTTTAAGTGGGTTTCGTAGGTATTTCCCCACACCTCAACACAATACATGAAATAAGGCAGAAATAAGGAACAATACAAAAGATATAAAGCTTTTTCATCTAAAAATTCTTTTACTTTATAGAGAACTGCTAATGATTTAGATAACTTTGCTTTAATTGAGTCAATATGCGGTTTCCAACTTAACTTTTTTTTCTATGGTTACGCCAAGAAATTTTATTTCATTCACTCTTTTAATTTCAATGAAACGTCACTCAGACCCCTACCGCCACCTGTGGCCAGAATATCACGCATGCAACCTCAGACTGGTGGGCAGCCGCCTGCTGGACTTAGAAAACATAGAGCTGACATACCTGGCGCTGCAGTCTGGCTCCAGCCCGTTTCCTGCATGTTTTAGGTCACAAACACAGCTGATTTGTTTCATTTAGTGATGAACCACTTCTGTAGATGCTAATGAAGGCTGATGAGACATTTCAGCTGCTAGATTAAGGTGTTAAAAAGACAAATCACAGCAAGGAGATAAGCGTTGCTTTTGGTTCTACCAAACGGACACTAGGGGGTGCCAAGTGTGCCTTTAATGGTAAAGACTACTTTGGTCTTGGGTATGTTTTATCACCTGAAGAGCTCTTTTATCTTGGCTTATTTGGCAACACCTGGTACCTGGAAAGAGAGAAGAGTACACATAAAATCAGCATTTCAAGTGGATTTTGGAGATATTTTTGTAGTTAACAACAATTTGCAGTTTAATAACTTTTAATCACATTAGGAACATCAGATTATAGTTATTAATACCTTTTTATTTGGAATGACAGCAGATCCTCCTTCACAGAAGCCACCATGTGGCATAAGTGCTTTTCAGTGGAGCAGAAAGGAAAAAAAAAACTCATGTTTATCAAATGCTGTCTCTAAAAATAATTGATGAAATCACTTCATATTTCCTGCTTTGCCGTTTATCCTGTGGATAAAATAGTTTACTACCAAACACATCAACCCGTTTTAGTTTTGTACATTTCTTCATACGCTTGCTAAAAAATGTGGGCTTTGTTTATTGGATGCATTTTGTTAATCCGGGATCACTTAAAGTGACTTTCTGCAGTTTTATCGGCATCTACTCTGTACAAAGACATACCTTTTTTTTAATCTATTGTGTCAGAAATTATGTTTTATTGACGTTGTTTTTGCTGATTGGTGATTGGATGTGAGCTGGACTTAGAGGCTGATTTTATGTGTTTGTGGTTAGTAACAACTGGGCTAGGTGTTGGTTATTGTTTATCTACATAGATAAACACAAACACACATTCCATATTTATCCTCTCATGTCATCAATTTTTGCCTTTATTTCCAGTTTCCGTGCACCTTTGTCCCCCAGTCCTTCCTTTTCTCTCTCTGTGTAGGATAATTAGTCTGCTTAATGCCCTGATGGGGTGTTTGTTTCTAATGAGATGGTCGAGTCATCCATGGATATGTGCAACAGGGTAGCAAGAACTCCAGAATTCACTTTTATTTAAACCAGAGAATTAAGGAGGAGGGAAATGGGAGGAGCTCAGGACACAATGCTTCTCTGCGCGCGTGTGTGTGTGTGTGTGTGTGTGTGTGTGTGTGTGTGTGTGTGTGTGTGTGTGTGTGTGTGTGTGTGTGTGTGCGTGTGTGTGCGTGTGTGTGCGTGTGTGTGCGTGTGTGTGTAGAATCAAAGGAACAAACAGGAGAGTCCCGGTCAGCAGACCTGCAGAGCAGGAAAGTGACCAAAGAGAAAAGAGTTCAGACACAGGAATCTGTTCAGACAGGACTTTTCTGTCAGCTCTCAGCGGGAAGGAGACCAGACCATCAAATCAACGTTTTATTTTAACATTCATTCCTAAACAGGAGGCTGAAAATCAAAATGGAGACCCCGATCTCTATCCAAAAAGAGATCACTCTTCTAAAAGGTATTTACCTTGTTCTGCTTTAAATGTACATAATGAATTTGGTTTTTGTTTATAATTTGATTGTAACTTACCTTGAAAAAGTCCAGGAAAGGAGGCGTGTTTGACAAATATTCACATATCTTCTCGCGTGTCAAGCTGCTCTAGCTCAGATTTACCTGTGTTTGCTGCATCTAGTTCTGAGCTCATTTTTCTGCTGTTACCAGTGAAACAGGCACATGTGTGATCAAACAGCCAGATGCTGGAGGAGAAAAGCACGTTGGTATTTGATTCACCAAAACTTGAAAATCCAACTGATCTTGCAACATAGATTTATAATTTCACCCATTACTGGTAAATAGTTGGTCAACCAGGGAATATTCTGACTAACAGCAGTATTTCATCAGCAAACACATTTTTCTTTTCTCATTCATTATTTTCTACCCTCAATGTTTCCTCATTGCCTCACTTTTGCTACCTGTCAGGTTTTCTCCCAGAACCTGTTGTGTCTGTGCACGTGTCGCTTGTAGTTTCTGTTGTGAGTCTTGTCATAATATGACAGGAAGTGATAAGGATTAGCTTTGTACTAAATTAGGCTTTTGTTTCACGTAACTGCACAGCAACAGTTTGTGGTTTGATGTAGATATTTTTTTTAAATCTTATGTAAATAAAACCATAAAATGACCGTATATATATTTAAAATGCTTGAATCCAACAGAAAAACAAGGGGGACAAAAAATCAAGGTGAAGACATTCTGATAAGGAGAACTGGTGTTTAACAGAATATTTTAGCTTCAGACCCACAAAATAACAGTGGCTTAGACTGCTGACCCCACGGTTTTATGGTTCACTGTACAAATATTGAAAATTATGATTAGAATAAATGCCATATTTTACTTTCCAGCATTTTTACTGATAGATTATCAGCTATATTTACAGATGTGGACAAAATTCTTGGTACCCTTCAGTTAATAATAGAAAAACTCACAATGGTTACAGAAATAACTTGAATCTGACAAAAGTTATAATAAATAAAAATTCTATGATATTTAACCAATCAAAGTCATTGAAATTATATAAAAAAATAAACCCATGGGACAGGCCTGGACAAAAATGATGGTACCCCTAGAAAAGACTGAAACAAATGTGAACAAAGGAACATGTTAATTCAAGGTGTGTCCACTAATTAGCATCACAGTCAGTGAGCCTATAGGGCTCCAGGTAGTCACCAGAGATGGGAATCGTGGCATCAACAAGTCATCTCCACGCTGTGTTTTTGTTCTGCTCAGCAGCTGAACCAGGCTCATTTACTGTTCTGAATGAAATCACCTGGTTAAAGTCGCTGAGCTGAAGAACAACATGGCATGGAGATGACTTGTTGATGCCATGGTTCCCATCTCTGGTAGTCACTGTGTTGTTTGGTGACATTGTGTGTACTAGGGTTGCCGCGGTGTGAAAAATGTGACCACAATTATCACGTTTTTTTGGTATTATTGCAGTGTTTTTTTTTTAAAACATATTACATTTTCAGACAACTAAATAAACCTTCTATATCAGAAAAATATTGTCCTCAGTTTGTGTTTAAATTTTGCCTAAAATGTGTTATTTTGCAATTATGTTCTTTATTTGTTAACATTTCCCCCTTTCGTCTTTAAAATACCTAAATCTGCCCATAACTTTTATTTTTTGTCTGTTTGATTTCATCATTTAAAAAAAGGAGTTCAGATAATACTCTGTACTCAAGTAGCCTTCTAATCAAATACTTTTTTTTCTCTTACTTGAGTAATTTCTCAGACAGCTAGTTTTACTTGAGTAAAAGGTATTGAAGTAGTGCTGCTCTTACTTGAGTACAGTTGTTGGTCGTTTCGAGGGTATTACATGTACTAATTATAGCAGCATAAATGTGTTATATTTTCACACAACTAAATAAACCCTCTATATCAGGATAGTTGTCCTTGGTTTGTGTACTTCCAGTGAGTTTTGCAGATTAGAGAAAATGTCATCAGGCAATAAACTTGTTAAATTCATAATAATGCGTTTAGAGTCAATCTGTTGCATTGGCGACCAAATCTTATCTACCCCTGGGAGCTCCATAATGCAGAGCTTCATTTCAATATGGGGGTGTTCGCGGCATGGTTAATATGCTGGCAGTGGGCGCTGCGGCTGCACTATCAGGTGACGTGTTAAGAAAGAAGGAAAACAAACTTTTATATTGAATCTCTCAAAATAAGAATCATGAGGTGCTTCACAATAACAACAATAAAAAGCAAAGTGTAAAAATACTTAAGAAATGATTAAAAATATGTTTAATATGAGGAAATAAGAAAAAATGTGATAAAAATTTAAGAAAAGGAAGAGTGAAGATGAATAGGAACGAGGGAAATTAGTGGATCCCGGTAAAGGCAGAATAAGGGTAGAAGCTGGAGAGGAAAGCTGTGGAAGTGCCTTCGCACCAAGAGTGTTTCAGACACCTTCGTTGCATTCTCCCTCAACCCAAAGTCCTCACATCGTGCATTTTAGCTAAAACGCTAACGTCTACTTGCCTTGCATTGACTGTAGAGTTGTGGGTGATGGCCACGCAGATGTCATGAGATTTGAAGTGTTGCTGCCTTTCACAGACACTTTTGCAAACAGGATAGACATCTTATATCAACTGTCCCCTTTAAATTCTTCAATTATCCAAAATATGCCCTTATTGCTGACTTTGTCTTCTTTGAGGGCTGATAAATGTGTTGAGCGCTGCCATCTCCTCCTTCGGCCATTATTTCAGCTTCAGGAAAGTTTTGGTTGTAAACTACAAAGTGTGGATGTGCAGCAACTTCAGCAGATGAGACAGTGGTTGGTAAGGGTCACCGCGCCTACACTGCCGACACGGTAATCCATCAAGATAATTTTATTTTTTTAAAGCAAGATGGTTATTGTTATTGTCAACATTTTTACCGGGATTTACCGCTGCACCAGTTACTGTGACATCCGTAGTGTGTACCACAATCACTATGGACCAGAAGAAGCGAAGGAAACAGTTGTCTCAGGAGATTATAAAGAAAATTATAGACGAGCTTGCTATTGGTAAAGGCTATAAGACAATCTCCAAGCAGCTAGATGTTCCATTGACCACAGTTGAACATATAAATTTCAGATCCATGGGACTGTAGCCAGCCTCCCTGGAAGTGGCTGCAGGAAGAAAATTGATGACGAATCAAAGAAACGGATATTCCAAATGGTAACAAAAGAGCCCAGAAGAACTTCTAAAGAGATGCAAGATGAACTTCAAGCTCAAGGAATATCAATGTCAGATCTCACAATCCATCATTGTTTGAGCCTAAGTGGACTACTTTAGAGACGACCAATGAGGATGCCATTGACACAAATAATTAAAAAGACCAGAATATGCCAAACTATATGTTGACAAGCCACAAAGCTTCTGGGAGAATGTCCTATGAACAGATAAGACAAAAATGGAATTTGTTGCCGAGGCAGATCAGCTCTATGGTCACAGATGGAAAAATGAAGCATATCAAGAAAAGATCACTGTTCCTACTGTGAAACATGGAGGAGGCTGTGCTATGTTCTGGGGCTGCTTTGCTGCATCTGGCACAGGGTGTCTTGAATCTATGCAGGGCACAGTGGAATCTCAAGACTATCAAGAGATTCTAGAGATAAATGTGCTGGCCAGTATCAGAAAGATTGGTCTCAGTCACAGGTCATGGGTCATGCAACAGGACAATGTCCCAAAACACAAAGCTACGAACACCCAAGAATGGCTAAGAGGAAAACACTGGACTATTCAAAATTGGCCTTCTTGCCCTAACCACAATCCTATTGAGCATCTTTGGAAGGAGCTGAAACATGCTGTCTGGAAAAGGTACCCTTCAAACCTGAGACAACTGGACTAGTTTGCTCATGAGGAGTGGGCTAAAATACCTGCTGAGAGGTGCAGAAGTCTCATTGACAGTTTGTCACATTATTTTCACTCTTTTTGTAAGGGTACCATCATTTTTATCCAGACCTGTTTCATGAGATTATTTTTTTAAATAGTTTTTTTTGAAGCATGGTTGAAAAGCATTGTCTGACTTTCATTGGATTCAAGTTCTTTCTGTCATCACGGTGGGTTTGACAGACGGGTACCAACAATTTTGTCCATGTCTGTAGCTGTGTATAATGACCACATTTTCCTTTTAGGACTGTGTGTTAGGAATTGTCCAGTCTTACCAATCTGTGTTTACCATTAGTAAGAACTATGTTGTGATAAAGAGTCAACATTCTAGTAAATAAGCAACACAATGAGTTGAGATCAAGAAAAATAAATTATGTTTTTCATTGTTATATTTCTATTAAAGTGGTGATTTTGGTAAAGAAATGTCTCTGATCATAGCATAGCTGATAGAATTAATCTAATTCATCAACTGTTCACATCTCAGGGTAAGAATAGATGTTTTTGTAGCAGCACCTGTCTGTCTCATACGTTGATTCTTCCCCTAAAAGGTGTGTGTGACTTTTTACACTCACTATTCACTGAGTCTCACTAAAGTGCTAAAGTTGCACTTACATGAAGAGGGTGCATTTGGAGTGCATGGAGACTCATTCATCAGACCTTTCTAATCTACAGCTTCACATTGGTTGAATCAGCCATATTGTGTTCTACTATACAGTAAACAGACTTGTTTGTGTACAGTCTCTGTGGAGGTCAGAGCAGAGGGAGGGTGTGTTTCAGGATGTGTGAGGAATGTCATGCAAAGTTTATTCTCATACTCTGTCTGCAGTGGTGTCTTGCTGTCTTACCCTTGTATTGATTTAGTGAGTTTGGAGTCTTTTCCTGTATGTTGCCTGTAACAAATGATCACAGGGTGCTACTGTTGGAATTTGGAGGTAAGCTGTGACAACCTGCAATTACACTACAGCAAATACAGTTGGCCTGGGACAAGACAGGAATGTTTTGTTTTGGGGCTAATACAACTTATTTTTAAAAAGTTCTGATTATTTAGGCTTATGTGATTAGTTCAGTAACAATTGTAATAAAATGCTACAGTAAACAGCTGGCCTTTATGGCAGTCAAAGTCACGCCCATCTACTTCCAGACCATGGGTCACCTACTGACTACCTACGTGACATGGGTTTCTCATATGATGAGACACCACGAGTTTAGCAAAATTCACATCCTAGTTCCAAAAGGAGCATTACACATGGAAGAAAAAAAACATTATAAATCTGGCCATGTGGAAAGTGGCAGCAAAGCCTCGGAGAGAAGAGATTGTGTTCTGAGGTCATGTGTGCTACTTCTGATTTGTTTTTCAGAGTTTTTACAAGCTTAGTGCTTCTTTAGATTGAAACTACATGTTTGGGTGAACACGACAAATATAAACGAACAGTTAAGTTGTACTTTGCCCAAAAAGTTGCAATGTTCCACAATACTGACATGGCTAATTAGCTTAAACTCAACTATTTACATGTCATACAGGCATGTTTGCGTTTTAACTATTACATAACTAGAAAACATTAACACAAGTTTTCAGGCCAACTATTTTCAAGACCTTTCAGGTTTTTACACAGTGTTTGTGACTATTTTACATCAAAGTGTATTTATTTTATTTACATTGAAACGATCTACAGTGAAATAATGAGCAGGGTGTGGTTCTGAAGCATGAACGGTAACCCCTCTGTTGTCTGAAGGAAATGGCTTTTATCATGCAGGAAACTATCTGGGTTGTAAATGTGTTTGTGTTTCATTCCAAGATGGTGCAAAAGGGAAATTAGGTCAGTTTTCAGTTGTATATTTAAACGTTGGTATAATACTGAGGAGCTTATTAAAAAGTGTCAAGAAAGTAATTATTGACCTCAACATCACTTAACAATATTGTTCAACAGGCATTTAATGCATCTTAACAGAGAAACATTTGACTGTAATCATAAATGCACACAATGATAAATGGTAAATGGCCTGTATAGGATATATCACCTTCTAGAGACCTGGAGCCCCCCAAGGTGCTTTACAACACAATCAGTCATTCACCCATTCACACACACATTCACACACTGGTGGGGATGAGCTACGATGTAGCCACAGCTGCCCTGGGGTGCACTGACAGAGGCGAGCACTGGCACCACCGGTCCCTCCGACCACCACCAGCAGGCAAGGTGGGTTAAGTGTCTTGCCCAAGGACACAACGATTGTGACAGACTAAGTGGGGCTCGAACCTGCAACCTTCCGATTACGGAGCGAGCACTTAACTCCTGTGCCACAGTCGCCCACAATAATTAAACATTCCATATTTCAGTACTTAACCTTGAAAATACATATTTTCAGAAAAGGCACTTGAGCCATTGCTCCGCCTTCTTCTCAAAATTCTCACACAGCAATAGATTGCAGGTAATACCCTTCCTACCCTTGGGGGCAGCAGTAGCTCAACAGGTTGAGCGGGTTTTCCATTAATCGGAAGGTTGCAGGTTCGATCCCAGCTCCGGACAGATAATTCTGCTGTTGTGTCCTTGGGCAAGACACTTAACCCTCCTTGCCTGCTGGTGGTGGTCGGAGGGACCGGTGGTGCCTGTGTTCGGCAGCCTCGCCTCTATCAGTGTGTCCCAGGGCAGCTGTGGCTACATTGTAGCTCATCACCGTCAGTGTGTGAATGGATGAATTATACACTGTAGTGTAAAGCGCTTTGGAGTCCTAACTCTGATAGGCGCTATACAAGTGTGGATCATTTATCATTTATCATATTCACCGAAGTCGGCACGTGGGCTTCAGCAAAGTGTCGATCAAGGGTTTAAAAGGGGCGGGGTCAAGGTCAACATTTGAAAATCAGGATAATAATAAAGTTTGTTGTCTTAAACTTACAACCTTGTGACTTCTATTACAACATTTAAATGGGCTTCATTGGTTTTGTTAAATATCTTTCATATAGCAAATGTCCTTTAATCACCAGAATTAGAGACTGAATTGTGCTTTGATTGCTTTTACTGCTTAAGTTTTCAACAAACGTGTTTCTGTTTCAATTTTGGTGAAACCTGTTTTATAATGAGGAATTTTAATTTCACATTTCAAAATCTTGCTGATCAGAATCTTTTGGAAAACAGAAAATACAAAAGCCGAAAGAAAGATGCCTAAAATGTTGAACTCTCGGGAAGCATAACCTTTAAATAAATTGATTAATTTCAGCTGTACTCTTTCCCATTTAATGGATTTACCTCCTTATTTGAGTGCAGTTAATGTGTGAATAATGAAATTAATGAACTTGGATGCAGTTTAAAGTCTGACTTGTTGCTTATTTGGTCATAAATGTTAATTCTTCATTTCAGATGTGGTTTGTGTCAGTGTTCACACTTTGACTTTAAACTTTGAATACATCTTACTCATTAAAAAAAACTAAATGGGTGTTTATATATGTTTTAACTACACACACACACACCAACATACACCAACACACACACACACGCACACACGCACACACACACACACACACACACACACACACACACACACACACACACGCACACACGCACACACGCACACACACACACACACACACACACACACACACACACACATACACACACACACACACACACACACACACAGGCGAGGTTGTGGTCTGTTTAAGAGATGGGAAATGACAATGACAATTATAACATTCCTTTAGTGGTATTAGACATAATAAATACTGTCACTGATATTCTTTTCCGATTTCAGAGCCTAAAAATCAGCTAATTTTTCTTCAAACTCTCTGTGTACACGGTGCTTACATTATCATCTCTATTAGCTACATCATAAATTTTGTTTCCATCCTGACCCTACTAATTGAACATAACGGCATTCCTCTGACATACTTATCCTCAAAGGAAGTGCGTCATGCATCGTTTCCCCTCTGTTGTTGAGCTATTCTTGGTGATGGTGGAGCCCAGGGGAAAGTCCTTGCTGTACAGTCAGGCTGATCCCCAGCTGTGATTGGACTTAGTGTCTCCTTCATTGTGAATGAGACCAAACTGAAGCCAAAGTATAGAAACCAAAACCCTGAAACACTAACTCCCTCACATGAGCTGGGTCTTGTTTGTGCTGGCCGTTCTGCTTTCAGTTCAGACCAAAAAGGGAAGGAGGGAAATAAATTCTGTGAATAGTTTTCAGGGTTTCAAAAACAACCACAGAGCCAAGAGTTGCTCATTAAAAAGAAGAGCACTTGGTTTCAAGAGGTGAACACAGCACTGAAATAAATTCTGCTTGCTAAAGGTGTGTTCTTGCTGTGTCGTATTTCTAATTCCATGCTGTAGTTCTTTTTTAAAACACAGAACAGTTTTGTTACCTGTTTTCCCGCTACGTTTCGTTTGCGGCTGTAAACTTCCTCAGGCTGACGCTGTTTGCCCATATGGTTAATCCGGCATTGCTCCTGGGCGCTTCCCTGTTGAGGTTTTCCGGGCATGTCCAATCAGCAGGAGGCCTAAAAGGAGGCCCAGGAAATGTTAGAGGGACTATGTTTCTCACCTGGCCAGGGAACGCCTTGGGATTCCCCCGGAAGAGCTGGCCCAAGTAGCTGGGGAGAGGGAAGTCTGGGCCTCTGGACTTAAGCTTGGTTTATGCTTGACGCATTCACTTTCCACTTGGTGATGCGGCTCGCGGATGGAATGCGCTTAACAACTTGCAGCGTTTATGGTTCATGCGGCTTGTATCTGCGGTGAGCCAATATTCTCCCAAACTGAACGGGCACCATGGAGCTCTACAGCATGCATCCAACACTACACCATGGTACAAGTAAAAATTACTGTTTACAACAAGGCATTCCAACATTTTGAACAGCGCCCTCGTCTTTTCCGACAGTGCGAGCTATTTCTCTCCAAGAATTATTAACAACATGTTGATCACGGCGATCTTTGAGAGCTGAATCATACAAATGTCTGTATTTACGAACCTCTGCCGTACTAGTTCTTGCCGGTCTGCCATGTTTTTCCGCATCCGACCGTCTGCGTGGTTAGAAAATTTCCTAGGTGCGCGTTCTGGAAATTTTGGGCCGTGCGGAGGCGCGGTGGAGGGGCGTGGTTGTTAAAATGACGCAAAATGACGCAACTTTTCCGCGTGGAGCCGTGCGGACCTCGCGGATGCGTCAAGCATAAACCAACCTTTAGGCTGCTGCCCCCACGACCTGACACCAGATAAGCGTAAGAAAATGGATGAGTGGATGGATGGATGGTAAAATGTAATATCGAAAGAAAAAATTGTTTCTTTTTTTCACATTTAAAATCTTAAAACAACTATTACGGCAGTACTACGTTGCTCTGCTTGGATACTGGAAAATTATTGTGAAACTTAAACGCTGTTCTCTAACTATTTTGAAAGAGTCTGTTTAACTCAAACAATCTACTAGAGACCACAGCAAAATAAAATGTAAAAAAGGATCTTTTTAACATGAAACTTTTGTTCGTTCAGTTGAAGGTCTTAAAAGGTTGTTGAACAGCCTCTGTGGAAAGGCTGTAAGTGATTTTTAAAAATAAAACTCAGTAAAGGTTTAGTAGCCGACTTGTGTTTATTTCATTCCTCAGACTCTGGGTTAATGTGTCAGAGGCCCTGCTGTCATTTCTGAACAGGTGTTAATCAGTAACCGTTACACCTGCTTTAGTCTGCTGTACTCTGCTGATATTTACTCTCCAGGCAGGATATGATTCATTGTTCATTAGGACTTTTAGTTCTTCTACAATATATGCATTCACATAGCAAGTTTGAAGCATTTCTATATCGTTTTATTTGGATGAATAACTTTGGAACAAAAAGTATTTGGTTCTTTTGCTATTTTATTCTCTGCTTTAATAGTTTTGGGCAGTAAGTTGTCTAATGGAACTTTGGATTAATTTTCTTACTCAGCTACAATTTGTAAATATTGTGTTTCTGTAGAATGAGCGACAGCTAAAATCTGCCAAAACACCCTGCAATATTTTCTAGTTGTTTTCAATAACAGGTGTGTGACTACCACCTTGCAACTAAGGCATGTTGTATCTGCTAGAGGGACCAACTCCTCCATGCTGGTTGACTTTCAACAATTCCTGTTTCAGAAATGGGATGCTATATTTTCCACAGTAAGCTGTGACCAAATGGGTAACCAGTACGATGAGGACGAGCCAAGCTGTTTTGACTGTGTATCAATCTTGCACACACTGCTTTGGCCCCTCAAGTTTTACTGATTGGTGATGGAAAGTGATTTCCAGCTGGATAATATTGCAGAGAAGTATTGCATGATGCTATTTCTGGAAATGGGGCATTGCTCCTTTTTATCAATGATGCTTATTGCATGGGTTCCAAATCTTAACAAGTTTTATGTCATAGTACAGATGACCAATCAGGGTTTATCCAACTATATGTTTGCAGTTAAGCTTTTATTTTTACTACAGCCAAAAACCCTTGAGACCATTTTAGGTTTAACTTTGTTGCCCTTAAACTTCACATATTTGTTTTTCTTCATTGCTGAGCTGAAACGTTAGCTCAGTCTCAAGTGTTTTATCTCCACATGAGCTGACACATTCTCCGGAACAGAGGCATTATTATCATGGAGGGCGGCTCTGACCTGTGCAGGAGGAGGGGAGGGAGACTCCCTTTCTGTTGATCTACACAGCGTGGCATGCTTGACAGAAAGAGCGAAGAAAGAACTTTGACAAACTGAGATCAAAAAGAAGAGAAGTCAGCTGTTAAAGGAAGCTGTGAGGAAAACCCGTTTGAACTCTTGAGGTTCCAAAGGTCTCAGGATTGTAAAACTGCAGCATGGAGTCCTTCTGTTCAAGTAAAGGTAAGCCATGGCATGGACAAAAACGCAAATGAAAAGAAAGAAAGGAGACAGACTACAAAGCCAAGAGGTAAACTGATACAGGTGGAGACAGAGAAGAGGGATAGTGAGGGAGAGAGGGAGGGTTTTGAGCATGCACATGTGGATAGGAAAGCAAATGGCACACAAAACAGTTCAACGGGTGTCTTTAGAGGTGCTATCAGGAACAACATGGAGGGTTTTGGTAGATTCAGCTAATCTTTTCATACATTTTACATTATTCATGATTTTGTGTCATTATTAATGAGCAAATATCTAAGACATACAGAAATTTAAACAGCTCATTTGACTATTTCCTTTGATTGTGATAACTCAGCACCTGAAATACAACAAAGACCTGAGAGGCCAAGAGCGATAGCAGACATGCAAAATGTACTACGGTATATAACATCAGGTGTAGTGATAAAATTAAACAATCCTGTTTAGCCCTTTAGGCCCTAGGCCTTTTTTCTTTGAGGCCTGGTACCTCCCAATTGGGACCTTTGGAGTTTCATGTCCCGTGTCAGTGATTGTTTGCATTCCCCAAGCACAGCTACAGCTACAATCAAAACAGTTTAGATTGTAAACAAAGCAGTTTTTGGATTTTTATACATTAAGATAAAATAATACTTGAACTTTATTTTGAAAGAGCAGCCCTGTGTGAAAGTGCTGACAGGATGGAGGTTGTGAGTTCAAATTCCATTTAGGAAATTTAGTCTATTGTTTTATTTACTCCAGGGGTCCTCAACTACATTTGTTCAAGGTTTTTTTTTTCAGCAGACACCAGTGAAGGTCAGATGCTCTTCTAAAGTAAAGTTCAACTATCATTGTATCTTAATTTAAGACAATTTAAAATGGCCTTGTTTCCCATCTGGGCTGTTTGACTGTGGTTTTAGTTGTGTTTGGAGAATGTGGACAGTTGTAGATATTTGGGACACAAAACTGTAGAGGCCCCCAATTGGGAGGTGTTAGGGTTAAACAGGTTAGTGAATGGATAGCATAATGGATTTGTTGTTGTTGTTTACTGTACATTTTTGAAGATAATCTGAACCAGTTCAGTCAGTTTATGGCAGTTTTCTTCAGATTCAAAGTAGACATTTGATGCCTGAGACATTCAGCTTTTTTATTTAGCTGGAAATGTCTGTTATTTTGGTTTGACTGCTGCATGATGGGATGCTGTTCAGATTATTACAAATAAACTGTGTAATGTATTGAAAAGATATTGCTGTCACAATATCAAAGTGTGCAATATCAGTATTGAAAAAAAACATCTACAATAACTCAATTAGTGCTATGCACTTTACATCTAATCAAACTTTTGTGCCAATCTGATGGAGACCCACTACCCTAGACACACAGCTAGTTCAGGTGACCGTGGTCCACATGGAGTGTGTTGTGAGCATACTATTGACATAGTAGAATGAGTTGAATGGTATTTATCACAGTTCACCTGTTTAGTAGAATTGGAAAGGGCTTACAACTGCTTCTCCATAGGAATTCCATGCGGATGCTATGTGGTGTAGAGGCCACTTCAAATGGTTTAGCAGACCCGGTACAACCATATAGGAAAGGCTTTGGCCACATTGTAGCCATTCATTCAAGCTACTTACACCAGGACCCTTGTCTCCATTCCTGTTTGTGATGTTCATGGACAGGATCTCAAGGAGCTTTAATGGAGAGAGGGATTCTGGAATGGGAACCTCATGGTCTCATGTTTGACTTAAACAGCTGGCATCTTTATGCCATGATCTTCAGAATTAACTTGAGTGTAGCTAAATGTGAGTCAGCTGAAATGAGCATTAGTTCCTCCAAATCTGAGGTCGACAAAAGGTGTAACACTCTTTTTAGGTTGGAAGTGGGTCTGCCTAAAGTGGAGGACTTCAAGTCCTGTCAGAATGGAGGAAGAGAGAGAAACTCAGCCGAAAGGCTAGGAAATCATTTACTGGTCTGTCTTTGTCCCAATCCTTGTCTAAGGTCAAACGATTTGAATTAGAACCATCGACATAAATATATGATTAGAACCAACTGAGCCTGAAATGAGCTTCCTGCATTGGGTGGGCAGGCTAAAACTTAGAGTTAAGGTAAGCAGACTCCAAATTTGAGGGAACACTTGATTTTGTAACTGAAAGGTGTAAAACAATGTGGTTCAGACATTTGACAAGGGCACATCTTGGTAGTCTCCATCAAGCCATTTTCTGGGCATGTTCCACTGGGAGGAGACAATGGGGCAGACCCAAATCTTACTGACTGGATTCTATATATTGTCTCTACACAACCTCACTCATGTATATCTTGAGTGTTGTGCATGGTAAAGAAGTAAAGCAAGACAAATCATCAAGAGCATCTGGAACTATGGATGTCCGATATTATCGACCATTGAAACAACATTGTCATATTTAATATCAGAAATTGTTGGTATCAGTTTTTACTCTTTTAATGACACAACTTATACCTGATTTTACATAAACTCTTCAGCTATACTTCTCTTCTCATTCAAAATGTCAAAGTATGATGAGCCAAGGTTTATCTTTTGAGATATTTGTGTTTGTTTGGCACAGCTTACGAAGAAGTAGAAAGTTTCCCTATGTAGTTTGTCTGGGTTATCACAGTGAGAATTTGATCAAGTTTAAGTATGCATTATAGGAGATATGTGATGTTTGTTACCTAGAAATGTTTGGTTTTCTGTTAAAGCTGTTGTTGATGCTGCAACACTCAACATTTTCTTTTTATAGATACTGGTATCAGTTTGTAGTATCAGAAATTAATATTTAAGACTTTAGGCAGGTTTCCACTGTTGGAAGTTCAGGGTCATTTTACCAGAACTTCCCAGCATTAACGTGTCTCAATGGACCGTTTACCAAGCCATTGTCAGGAACTTTCAGAGTACCTGAACAGGGGCAGGTACTCAAGGCTGCGTGGAGTAGCTGAGCAGTACTTTTGGTTAACTCACACCGATTGGTTGTAACTCAGTATCCCGGGAAAGGTGGAATAAGTAGAAAGAGCAGAATAAGGAGAGGGTGGTGATGAAGATCAAACCAAAGTCTGATCAGGTGACTTTTCAGCTGTTTTTTTTAAAGGAGACCACTGAGTCCACTGATCTCAGGCTCAGGGGGAGAGAGTTTCAGAGTTAGGGCCCACAGCAGCAAATGATCTGTCACCTTTGGTCTTTAGCCTGGTGCGCTGCATACCCAGTAGATTTTGGTCACTGGACCTCAGGGACATGCTGGGGGTGTAGGGACTGAGAAGATCACCAATGTATGATTGTGCAAAATTTATTTAAAAACATTTTTAAATGGCAACATTTGTTGCGTCAAAAGGCTGCACGTAGGCAGTAAAAGTAAAAGCATTCACAATAAATAAAAGAGCCAACAAAAGCATTTGAAGAATATAAGATCACAGGCAGAAAAGGTCAGCTAATCTCAGCGTCCAAGATGGAACATAGGGCTGAATAAGGTTGCACAGATATGAGGAAGCCAGCCCATGCAGACATTTAAAAACAAGCTGCATTATCTTAAAATACCAAGCTTAAAAGGAGTCCAGTTAAGATCATCCAGAACCGGAGTGATGTGATTGTACTTTCTTGTCCCCCCAAGAAGGTAAGCTGCCGCATTTAGGACATTCTGTAAGCGACCTCAAGTGGACTGTGGCAAGCCGATGTATAACACATTACAGTAGTCCAGCTGTGAAGAGATCATGAATAATAGTTGCAAATAGATCAAGAGGAACATTGACCTTCATCCTACTTAGCAAACTCAGTTTTAATAAGCTTGCCTTCACCACCACACTGATCTCATCTGCAAAGATGAGACCTGAGTCAAAAACAACCCTCAAGTTCCAAATTGTGGGATGTGCTTTTTGGAGCTGATCTGTGACCTCACTCGCTGCTGAAGAATTCGGGATTTACTAACATCTGTGCAAAGTCCTGTGAAAGCTGAGTTTGTATGGAGAGAAAAATGGGCAGGGCCATCGTATATCTTGGTCAAATTCCCCCCTCCGAGAAATTACTGCCTCATATCTGTGTATTGGATATGGGTAACAAAAGCTAAAATGTCGAACATCCCTATCTATTACCCAAATCAGTTGGTCCTCTGTTTATTTTCTGTAAGTCAAATGGTGAGAAACTTGAGACAACTTTGACCAAAGCTGGCCTGTCTGGCATATTTATCCATTTTTCAAATTTGCTAAAATAAATCGTGTTAAAAATGGTAGTTAGAAGAAAATAGTTTGCATGTCTCTCAAACCCCAGGGAGTCGTGGAGGATGGCTGCTTATACTGGGCCAGGTTCTGTTGGAGGTGTCCTCCTAAAGGGAGTTTTCCTCTCCACTGTCGCTGCATGCTTGCTTAGTATGAGGATTGCTGTAAAGACACTGACACCAGTCAGTAACTCGATGAAATCTGCTGGGTCTCCTTACATAAGACACTTTTAAATAATTGGCATAATGAACTGAACTCAATTGGAATGTTTACTTTGTGGAGTGGATTGAGATGACTCTTGTGGTGATTTGGCGCTATACAAATAAACTGAATTGAAACTGAACTGAATTTGTTAAAAAGAAGAAGAGAAATATTTTAGAGAATATTTTTGACAGTAAAATACTTTAACGCTTTAATTCTCTTTTTCTATTCCAATACCACTAACAGCTGCAAAAAAGAGAAAAGAATTAGAAATAAAATCATAACATAAAATTAATATTTTATGATCAGTGTTGCTGTCCTCACCACGATATAAACATTTTATTTCAAGTAAATTATTAGTTTGAGACCAAATTGCTAAAAACAGTTGGGTAAACGTATTGTTATTATTTTATTTACACATTTAAGACAGTTTGACCTAACTGCAACAGGAGTTTGCACTACAGTCTCACAAATGTCACTATTTATTTA